TTATTTTTCTTGTGCTGCAGCCGGGCCTTGCTTCTGCTGATAGCATGGATACTTGCTTAATAATAACAGATCCTTCTTACCTTTTTATGTCTGTGATGCATTCATGGTGCAAGTATAAAAGGAGTATTTTTATTTTATTTTATTTTAAAAAGACAGGTAATTTCAAAATGTGTCTGATGGCTAAAGGTAGACTCACTTAATTTCCCAGGGAGCGGGGAAAAAAAACATTAACATGCAACACAGAGATGGTGAAAGATGTAAGAAAGACAGGAAGGGAGAAGGAGGAGGGAGATTATTTTCAAGGATTTAACAGGATTTAAATCTTTAGGATTTAACAGCTGGAAATTTATACCTTAACAACTGGAAATGTTTACCTTACATGCTATGTCCTAATTCATTTTAGGATTTTTAAATCATATATACACATGATATGTCACTGATTTTTGTTTTTGAAATGTTTTGCAAAAGAATTGAAGTAATGTTTTGTTATTCATAGGTTGCATGAGACAGTTTAAAGTATCACTGTGTAGTTTACAGTAAAGCACTGTGCACAGGATAGCCTGTGGTGTTTGTGGTTAATGTTGTCTTTTATTCTCAGTTTGTAGTGTAGCTTGTGAAAGATCTGTCATCTTTCAGAATTCAGTTAGCTCAGTCTACATCGAGCAGTGAATATCAGAGTAGCAGTGCAGGTAATTGTTTTCCTTTTGCTGCACCTTTACACCTGTTCTTAGAGTTCCTCCACCTGCCAAATCCCATTTTAACCCCTGCGTAATTCTACGGGAAACTGTGACTAAATGAACAAGACGTGAACGAAAATCAGCAACAGGAAATTATTTGTGTACTCACGCTGCGTACTTAATTTTCATTCTTTTCTTTTTTTTTTCTCCTGATGTGGATGTGCGGAAATTGGCTTATGACTCGCAAATTAGAGATTTATTTAACTTAATTGGCAGCCCTTTTATAAATGCACTATAGATGCTATTTTTGTTTAGTGTGTTGATGTGTAAACAGAGAAAGATACAGTCCCGATTAAAAGGTTAATGGCAAAAAATCATATTTTACATGATTGAATCTAAACAAGGTTCCAAGTAGAGCTTCAACATGCAACAAGAAGAAATAGGAGTGAGAGAAAACATTTTTTGAGCATGCAATTTATTGAAAACAACGCTTAAACTGAAACAGGCTGTTTCAGATCAAAAGTTTAGGATCACATGCCTTTAAAAGGCAAAGTCTGTGCAAAAATGTGGATTCATTGTCATTTTCTGTCAGATAGTCACACTGTTGTGAACTTCTGATGGCAAAAGCAAAAAGACTTTTTGAACATGGCCGGGTTGTTGAACTGCATAAGCAGGGTCCCAGAGTTTAAAATGAGTCTGAATACATAACCATGGCAGCCTAGTTTGGTGTTGTTAGCAAAGCCTTTCAGAACAATTTTGTGATGCATAAATTAAATCAGAAAATTTCACAGTGAATGGAACTGGTATGCATGAGACCTCTGCATAGCTTTTACAGGCCGCAGTCTAAATGTTATCGCTGTTTACTGTCACCAGGGGGCAGTGTGTGTGTGTGTGTGTGTGTGTGTGTGTGTGTGTGTGTGTGTGTGTCCACTGTAGCCACTTCCTGTTTTCCACCCAATCAGCATCCCTCCTGGGCTATGTGCTGTTAGTTTCTTGACACGCAAGTCAAGAAACCTAGGCTCCATACCCATAACCCATAACTACGCAAACTGACCAAAAGCAATGGATGAATCCTGAATTTTAACAGGCCATATTAATTCAATTCAATTCAATTCAATTCAATTTTATTTATATAGCGCCAAATCACAACAAAAGTCGCCTCAAGGCACTTCATAAATACAGAGAAAAACCCAACAATCATATGACCCCCTATGAGCAAGCACTTTGG